CAGCACCCTTCCTCCTTCGCGTCACAAATTTTCTGCAAGAGCTAGACCACATGCTTTCATTGGATATCCCTCAGGTGTCAAGGGTTACAAGGTCCTTGATCTTGAGTCCAATATCATTTCTATTTCCAGAAATGTGGTTTTCCATGAAGATGTTTTCCCTTTTAAAACATCTCCTCTGTCTCCTACCACTCTAAGTTTCTTCCCTCCTGATCCCTTGTTTTTTTACTTTTCTGATCCTGAGTCTTCTGCTCAGATTCCTTCTTCGTGTCCTCCTTCTGCTAGAGTTTCATCTTCTCCTGATGTCGCTATCTCTTCAGCTTCCCCTTCTGATGTTATAGCAGAACATTCTCGAAAGTCACAGCGGATCACTAAACCCCCTTCCTATCTGAAAGATTACCACTGTCATTTAATAGCCAATTCTAATTCAGCACCTAACCATAACACAGTTTCATACCCACTCTCTTCTCACCTTTCTTATGATACCCTTCATCCAGTCTTTCGCCATTTTATCCTTTCTATAACCACTACCTCAGATCCTAAAACTTATAAACAAGCTGCTGCATCTGAACATTGGAAAAGTGCCATGTTACAAGAGCTGGATGCTCTGGCTCGGACAGAAACCTGGGAGATCTGCTCCTTACCTCCGACCAAGTCTCCAATAGGCTGCAAGTGGGTTTATAAGACAAAGTTCAATGCTGATGGTAGTATTGACAAACACAAAGCTCGTTTGGTAGCAAAGGGTTATTCCCAACTTGAAGGTATTGATTATTTGGACACCTTCAGTCCAGTTGCGAAAATGTCGACAGTTCGAACATTACTTGCTCTAGCCTCCAGCAATTGTTGGTTTCTGCATCAGATGGATGTGTCGAACGCGTTCTTGAATGGCGATTTATCTGAAGACATTTACATGGTTTTACCACCTGGGTACTGTGAGCTCAAGGGGGAGCAAATCCCTACCTCCTCTGTTTGTCGATTACGTAAGTCCTTGTATGGCTTGAAGCAAGCTTCAAGGCAGTGGAATTTAAAATTGTCTCAGATTTTGATCGAAGGCGGTTATACTCAGTCACATTCCGACAATTCGTTGTTTGTCAGACATACAGGATCTGCCTTTGTTGCTATTTTGGTGTATGTAGATGATATTCTACTTACCGGGAACAACTTGGATTTGATTACAACTGCTAAACAGTTACTAAGCTCCAATTTTCAAATCAAAGATCTTGGCACACTTCGTTACTTCCTCGGCCTGGAGATTGCGCGTTCGAAGCAAGGTATTCATCTTTGCCAGCGCAAATATGCATTGGAGTTACTTGAAGATTTCGGTCTTTTGGCTTGCAAGCCTGCTTCGACGCCAATGGATCCCAAGGTGCAGTTGTCATCTGAATCTGGAGACCTATTATCAGATGTCACGAATTACAGAAGGTTGATAGGGAAGCTTATCTATCTTTCAGTAACAAGGCCTGATATTAGTTATGCTGTGCAGAAATTGAGTCAGTTTATGTCTCAACCGAGATCTGATCATCTCACAGCGGCTCATCGAGTTCTTCGATACCTCAAAGGCTCTCCAGCACAGGGTCTATTATATCCATCAGATTCACCAATTCGATTGAGTGGTTACACGGACGCCGATTGGGCGGCTTGTCCGGATTCTCGTAAATCTGTCACTGGCTTCTGCATATTTCTCGGTCATTCTCTCATCTCCTGGAAGTCTAAGAAGCAGCAGGTTATATCGAGAAGCAGTGCCGAATCGGAATACAGAGCAATGGCTCAAACTTCTTCTGAACTGATTTGGATTGCAGGTCTCCTCCGAGACTTACATATCGTCTTTCCGATGCCGATTACTCTATACTGTGATAACCAATCAGCGCTACATATTGCGAATAATCCGGTCTTTCATGAACGGACAAAACACATAGAGATTGACTGCCATTTTGTGCGCGACAAGCTGAAATCGGGTTTTCTGAAACCTTTGCATGTTTCTTCAAAAGACCAGATTGCTGATGTGTTTACCAAACCATTGGTTGGTGATAGTTTCAATCGACTGTTGCGCAAGATGGGCATACATGACTTGTACCGCCCACCTTGAGGGGGAGTATCAGCACCTAACGTCTATGGCGCTCCCTGTATTCATACGACTCTGCTTTTGCATCTCATCCAAGTTCAATAACAGAGCACGTGTGAGGAATGGTTTTATACTCTGGTTTATTCATTCTTTAGATTATTTCCTTGGTTTAGTATTTTCCCGGTTTACTGGTTTTGTAGCTAGCACACACTTTTTGCCTTTTGTAGAATTTGTTAGAGGTTGTTGCACAGATTCTTTTGTATATATACGTGTAAAAGGATCAATGGAAAAATACAGAGAAAAGTTTTCTCAATCTCCCGTTTTCTGGGTCTTTTTCATCTCTCTGAAGAAACTTGCTCTCTGCAAGTTGTTATGGTATCAGAGCATTTTTTTACTTCTTCTGCTATTTTCCATCGTTGATTCCTTCCTTTTCCTTCTTTGATCATGGAAGCTGAGGCCTCTTCGCCCCTTCCTCCTCTTTCTGATGTTGCGAATCACCCTCCCTCTTCTCTTGATCCTTACTCGAATCCGCTCTACCTCCATGCTGCGGATTCTTCAAGCATTTCTTTGGTGCCGGAAAAACTCACTGGGGAAGACAACTATAATCTCTGGTCTCGGTCGATCGTCAAGGTACTTATTGGTAAAAACAAACTCGGTTTTCTCCATGGGTCTGTCCCCAAACCAGCCGATGATCACCCTGATCTCGGTGCTTGGGATCGTTGTAACGCCATCGTCGGAACATGGCTTACAAATTCCTTGTCCATTGACATAGCAACTCAAGTTATGTATCTTGATGATGCTGCTGTCATTTGGTCTACATTGGAAACGCTGTATAAACAGCGAAACGATTCTACTATTTTTCATCTGGAGCAGCAGATTGAACTTTTACAACAGGGTTCTATGAACCTTAGTACTTTCTTCAATAAACTCAGAGCTCTATGGGAAGAACTGAAAATGTATGAGCCGTACCCGATCTGTACTTGTGGCGGCTGTACTTGCCAGGCAAATAGGAAACTGATTAAGATTTGTGAAAAGAAGAAGGTGGTTAAATTTCTGATGAAGTTGAATGAAAGCTATCATCCTGCCAGACGACAAATACTGATGATTGACCCATTGCCTGATATGTCCCGAGCTTATAGCATGATTGCCCAAGAAGAGAAACACAGACAGGCCTTACCACCTGATTCAATGGTTTTTCAAACCTCTGCCCAACCCATTTCTCGGCCAAAATCTGTTAACCTCATTTCCTCTAAGCCTCGCCCTGTTTGCTCCCATTGTGGCTTAACTGGTCATACTATATCTCGATGCTATAAGCTCCATGGTTACCCGCCTGCTTCAAAACCTCCTCGCCCTTGGTCTTCCAGACCTCCTCTTTTACCAAAACCACGAGCTTCTTCCCAGACCCATCCTGTTAACATGGTCAACTCTGATCCTGACCATCTTGCTCCTATCCCTGATTCTCCGAAATCCTCTTTTACTATGGAGCAAGCTCAGGCTCTGTTTGGACAGTTGCAATCTCAGTTCAGGTCGCTTGGCACTACTCGCCCATATATATATATATATATATATATATATATATATATGTCTATTTAATTATTTATAACTAATAGGAGGAGTTTACATTGATGGCATTATCTCTTTTGCAGAGCTAGGAAGGAAGCTCCGGGGTCGAGTGCATGATGACTAATCCTCTTTGAAATATGAAAACGTATGCCATAAATAATGTATTGGAAAAGTGTGAAGTGTTCAATCTTCACACTCAAAATTCTCATTTTAAAATAAAAATCGAATAATTTTATATCAGTTTATATTTTAATAAAAAGCAAAATAATATATAATATTGTACAAGTGAATCCCATATACTTTATTAATAAAATTATGCATAAGATGGCCCCATCATATATAAGACTTGATTTATTTGCAGGGTATGTGATATATAAAAAGTTTTTGCCAGATTTTCAAATCATTTAAAAAAAATAAAAAAAAATAGAAAAAACGAAGACATTGTAAAAAAAATGTAAAGTCCGATTAAGAGAAAAAAAGGAATCCAGCTAAATTGCAAACACAAATCTAACAAAAATGCAGCTCCTAAATTGCAAAACATGTCCAACCAGAGGTGTAGCTCGTTAATTGCAAAACATATTGAACCAAATATATAGTATATTGCAAACGGCTAAAAGTGTGGGGGGTGAAGAAGAAGATTGGTGAGGAGAAAGAGAACGAGAGAAGTAAAAAGAGAGAGTAAATGTGTATTAAAATGCTTGAAAAGTTGTCTTGCCATGTATATGTATACGTACGTCTATAGACAGGACAGCATTTGCCATTTGGACAACACCATTTAGGAGTGACTTCTTTGTGAGTGCCTACTGCTGCCGTGTGACACCTGTGAAACAACAAACACAATATATATAATCAATCAGTTAAAAGCTAGCTACAAACAGCAGCATGGATGGAACTCTAGAGGATAAATGCAGAGCAATCTCAGAATCAAATGAATCACCAGTTAGGCTGGTGGGCACAATAGACTCAAGGCTAGCTCCAAACGAAAAAGGAGAGAGATCACATCACTAACCATCTTGGCAAAAGCCCAAATAAAGCTCCATCCGGAAGATCCTCCCGAGTTCAAAGAAGAAGACGGTAGCTGTGGTGAAGGGTCTAAAGTACAGGTTAACGAGGACACCAATACGATGTCGTTTCTGTCGCGGTATTTCCACCATGTTATCACCCCGAAAGCCTCCAATCATCGACAACGGGAGTCGTGGTAGAAGAATATGAATATGGGACGAAGGTGTTGGAGGGGTTTTCTAGAGGTCGTGTTGATGGAGGGGAATATTAATGTTTTTGCATATGAACGATTATGGATAAATTGTCTCATTGCCCATCCGTGATAAAGACATAAATAAACAGCATCGGAACTGATACGAGGCACAGTCAGTCATGATTGGATTTGGAGTTGGTCTTGTCGGGTTAATATACTGAAAAACACATACTGGTTGCCATTTACATTCGACGACATCATGGCACAAATGTATTCTACTATCACAACACAGCTATCCCCTAAGTAGCATTGTAGCTCCTCCGATTGTATCAACTGTTGTTCATTTCCATCTATTATCATGAATACCAACCATATAATGTTTTTTTTTAATAACAAAGAACTCTATCTACTACCCTTCGGACGCACTGACTAGGTAATCCTCCGGTTCGGGACCAGTCTTTGTATATGGACCTTATTGACCCATAAATTACGTCTCTCCCCGCCAAGTGGAGTCGAACACCCAACCTTGACTTGAAGTGTATTGTACCCTCAGATTGACCACTGGACTATCCCTTGGTGGGTAAAAGCATATAATGTTACCACAACAAAGCAGGTACAGGAAGGAACAACCCAGTCACAACTCACAAGCAATAAACTAAACCACCCAAAACAAAAGGGGAACCATAAGAACCCGTTCAAGAGTAACATACCAGCCATACAAACAAACCAATCAAATCAAATCGAAAGAACGGGAACTTATATGGATTGTAAGATATTCAGGCAGAGTAGGTACCTCTTTCATGCCCGCCCCCATAGACCAACTCCCCGTACCCAATCCATCCTTTTTGCTAGATCTAGGGTTTATGAGTTTCCAGAAGAAAAAAAAAACCCCAAGAATCGCTGTCCCTTTTCCAGTTTTCAGCCAACCAAACATCAAACACCTGCATAAAAAATTCAAAGACTTGGATATGTCAAACAGCCAATCAATCACATGTTAAAGCTATATGCCATACAGGCAGCTATGGCCAAAACCACAATAGCGAGTCGGTTCGGAAGAGGCCAAATTCAAGACCGTGAGCTCCATGAGAAAGAAAAGAGCAAGAGACAAAAGATTAGTCAGTGAAGTAATATTTCAAGTTCATATACATAACGCCCTTCTATGATTTCCGGGTAAGAAAGGGAGAGATCTTTTCAACTTTCACATCACCAAATATTCATTGCCAGAATAGAAAATGTTACAGGCACTTGAAGTGAAGAGAGTAATAAGTTTTCAAGCTCATGTACATTGAAAAGCGTCATTATAAGATGTCAAAAAAAAAAAACAAATGAAAGAATGCTTGTCTTACTCGGTCGATATCTATCCAGAGGAATGTCTTGTTGCTCACGTCTAATGCACAAGTACTCTGCTAGCAAGGCCATGACACCGAGTCCAGTTCCATTCACAACCCACCATGTTATAGAAGAAGGCCACCCCCCATACATGATGCATAAGAAGAGATGTATGATATAAAGTGTTGCAGAGAAATCTAAGCATTTTCGTGCCCGTTCGACCAGAAAAACCATGTAGACAGCCCTGCCACAAGCGTAATAACTAAATCACAAGCTACAACAAGCTCCTGAGAAGTGAAAGAAAAGAGCAAACATGAGATGAAGAAGAGTGGAGTTTTTGGTTCTAACCCTGCCAATGAACTGAGAAAGAATGAGGCAATGACACACCAACCCGTGACTGTTGACAAGGAGAGCGTAGCATAGTCGAAAAAGTAGACAAGACTAAGCCGAGGAACCCGAACGCCCAGAAAAACCATCACGAACACTCCAAGGGTGAGATAGTATGAGCATTGAAGACAGACAATCTGGGCAACTATAAGCCAAGGGTCCCATACCGCTGTCCCATAGAACATGACTGCAACCAAAGTTCAGCCCTCTTCCAATTCCCAAAACCTCAGATGGAAACCCTAATTGTTTGATCGTGGCGTATATGAACTCATCCGAATGCTGAGTTGGCATACACCGAATCCTAAAAATAAAATGAAATTGGAAAATTCAAAGCACTGAAACATGGAAAAAGAGAGATGCAACGAAGCAAGATTCAAAATCTTCTGAATCATCTGTGGTATTCTGAAGGTGTACAATTCTCATCCTGAATCCAAACACTTTTCAGGGAATTAAACAGAAAACGAGCCTCAAACCTCGGAGAGAAATTGGTAAATTCGCAAGTACGGGAACTAAATAACAGCGCTGGTAGTGCTCCAGATTCGAGGATCAAGCCGGATCCACCAAACCCGCGGGAATTTGGAGATGGACGAAAGCCAGATCGAGAAAACGTCGCCTGGAAACACGAAAACGTAAGATACGATTCAACCTCATCAATATCAAAACAAAAAACGTAGAGAGAGAGAGAGAGAGAGAGAGAGAGGGGCACCGGATGATGAAAGGGGCAATGCTGCTGCTAAGATAATTTTGCGAGGAATTAAATGGAATTCGGGAGATGATAAAAGGCAGGCGAGTTTTCACAGTAGTTAGGTTGGACTCCCAACTTTTACGACTCCAAGTGCAAGTCCATCTCTTCAGCTTTTACAAAACGAACCCATTTTAAAAAACAAATTACCAAAGGAACTCAATCAATCCTCAGGCGTTAATTAAAGGGAAAATCCCATTAAAAACACAGATTTTATTGTTGTATATATATATATATGAAATATAAGGTTTATTTAAATAAAAAAATATATAGTTAAAATTGTGACGAGATAAAAATACAGCTTTTTAATGGGATTTAGCCTTAATTAAATGCAGAAAATGTATTAAAAGGAAGACTGAAACAAGCCAACAAAAGCATTGAGGAAGCATATCCTCTCTTCCCAAAACGCTCACCCACCGCAGCAAGGAACAACAAATTAAAATGTCAATTTCATAGCATTAGCTATTCACCACGAAGATTAAGTATGGATCGTTCTTGCTGCTGGTAAGAGTGTGTAGCATCAGATCGCCCTGGATGTTGGATCGGCAAAAGTCGTGAAGCATCATCAGCTGTCTCAGGATCACTAAAGTGTGCCAAAAACAAAAATCACTCAAACAAGTTGGGAGGGAAAATAACGATAAGAGGATGAATTTCGAAAGAACTGAGAGATTCTTACAGACATGCTTGTTTAGGGCTCTCACAGTAAAGGCTGGTTCCTGGAATCCTCCAAGTCAGTCTTTTCTCTGTTCGATGCATTGTTCATACAGAGAACGATACTTCACCGGCACAAAGTCCTTGAATCTGTATAAATGCGTCAAAACATAATTATATGCAAATGGTATTTGCTCACAAAAACAAAAAAGGTCCATAGATTTACCTCATGAGAAGAGGGTATCTATCTGGCCCGGAGAACAATTGCACGACGGATTGCATCACATCCACTAGTTTTATCTCCTTGTTCTTCAGTGCTTGCATATATCCAATGAACTTCTTATACTCGGCTGTATCGAGTTTTTCTTGGGCCTAGAAGCATTAAAAGTTTCATTTCATCAGTTTTGGATGATGACAGACAGATACCAACAAAACAGATAGTTCAGTACCTCAAAGAGAATAGAGTGCAAGAAGCAAACCAACGTTAGGAAAGAAAGAAAAGTGCATCTTACTTGACTCAAATATGCAGATGCACTTGCTTCTTTTTCATCGCAAGTTCCAGTCTCATTTGCTTTCTGCAATGAGCATGACAGCTTTTCTTGATTCTTTCTGAAACTTTTATCTTCCAAATTGTCTGGAACCTTCCGCTTTCTTATAAGTCCCACTGTGTTGAAACAGCTGCTTGATGAAGAATTGCTGGCTCCAGAACTTCTCTTCTGACTATTGTCAGATTCTAGATCGATAACTTCGCTCGGCTTCTCAACCTCATCATATAATTCTGCTAATTTAGTCTTCTTTGAACAACAAGACAACATATCTTTTCTCTCAACAACCCGAGGTATCTTGTCAGTTCGCGGGAGGATGCTCAAGCCTTTCCATTTAATAGTATTTGGTATGTCATCCTGGGAGGGAAACGCACGATTTGCAGGGAGAAGTCCTTCCAGTCTGTTAAATCCAGTTCGTGCAGGACTTACTTCTTTTACATTAACATTACCTGCAAAAGGGCAACACCACATTGGCAACAAAAAAACTGAAGCATAGTAACTAGAAAGATAGTTGGAGTGGATTCCCGTTCTAGGCATGCGCAAAAGGGACTTTTCTTGTCATATGTACACATGTCAAGAGAAAAGAGGAGGAGGCATTGACCGGGAGCTAGTATACAAGGAGCTTCCTTGACTAACTCAGTTGATAAAAATGTTTGACCTGATGTTGAAACTATCAGTTTGTAAAATGCCTCTGAAATACATGAAGCGAGGAGATAGAAAGGAAAAGTTTCTAAACCAAACTGAATCAGTATGCAACCAGTATCCAAATGCTTTACATGTGTTTGGCCATCTGAGTAGGGTAAGGCAACCAGTATCCAAAGAACAGTTTGGGAAAAGGTAAGATAAACTCAGCGTTTGGGAAAACTTGACGGGCAACATAAGAAGTAAGAAAAGGAAATTTGCGAATAGGAAACTCGATTATAGAAATTATTTATGTTTAAAAAGACGATAGAAAGGGATACTTAGTGCATAATGTAATGTTCATCATAATCTTTGTTGCATGCATCCATATCCTGAACATAATTGAGGGTAAAGTTGAACTAAGATATAAGCAATTAAATGACAGCCTGACGACTAATGGCACCCCGTAGCTATATCCATGGAACGAGCAGAAGACTCTAAGCGAATATAGGCCTTGAATGGTAGGAGTTTTTAGAGTTTTTAGAATCCAAAAACAAAAAAAAACAACATTCAAGTTTTTACAAAATTACTTTTTCTAAAAACTTGGAAAGCCATATTAGTGAAAAAAATCAATGAAAAACCAAAAGCTACTTTTTTTGAGTTTTCAAATATTATAAAATCCAAAAGCCAAAAACTAAAAACTAAAAACCAAAATCCAAAAACTAAAACCAAAAACCCAAAATAAAAGCCATCTCCATTCAAAGCCCTAATATGCTAGAGCCCAATGCCTAAAAAGCAATCACTAAAATCAGCCACTAAAGTTATCTTTTAGCCAGAAGATGCATCACCTATACTGTTGTCTTGTTCCGAGACGAGCATTGCAGGAAAACTTGATCTTTCACTCCGGAAAAACTGAACAAGATCAGAAATGACCTCTCCATATCTAGAGTAGCACTGCAAAATAGGTCATGAACAGTCTTAGTATCTCCATTAACCAGAGGAGAGAGAACAGAAATGCATACCTTAACCATAGGGCGTATCCAATGTGATATCTGGGACTGCCGGGAGGGATGCTCAAACCTGTTAATGATGGCCGCAGGTTTAAGAAATGTATGTGATAAGAACACCAAAGTAATTCTTACGTATTGATATCAAAACCCAACACAAGATAACGGTTTGATTATTGAGAGTATCCTTCTCTCCCCAAAAACCCAGACATTTACCAAAAGCCAAAACATGAAAATCCCCTCACATATCTGTAGTTTATATATTCTAACCCTAGTCCAAAATGATGAGCTGGCATCAAAATAACCGACTAGAGAAACACCACAATATTGACCAGATTCAATGAATCTCATATCACATGCGTGGCATGTTGTTAACGAACCCGGCCTCTATCAGTATGACAAAGCAGAAAGTACTGATATTTTAACAACCCCTTTCTTGTCCATATGGAGAACACTGTACTAAAGATTATTAAGAAAGAGAATGTAGCTGGCATATATCTTAACATACAGTAAGAAGTATAAGCAGACACATCAATCATCAAACACAATGTCAAATCATAAAAAGTTTTACAAGGCCGTGATCTGCATACATCTATATTTAAAAGATTTCATTTGCACGGTTTTCTTTGAATATTTCAGAAGTTACAAAGGGAAGCCTATGTTAATATGAGTGTCACGCTAGCTATTTCTGCACTAGAAAAACATACACGCAGAAAACACAGGAAAGAAAAAACTCCAGAAGATTAAATAAAAGAGAACCTGGCATCACAAAAGATGATTGCTCCATAATCATGGCGATGGCGGATTACACGTCCAATTGCCTGATTCACAGCCCGTGCGGCTTCTTGACTGTACCACAAGTCTCCAGATAGAGGACTTGATTTTGGAGCCTACCAAGTATCAGAGATAGTCAGAAGCTTGACGTGAAAAGTGTAGAATACACTCTTGGGCTCACCTTGCCATCTACCCTCTGTGACTGCAACTGTTGATCCAAAAACTCGCGTTTCAGTTTGACCTGTTATATAGTGTGAGACGTTAATGATGGAACCAAACTAGATACACAGGTTACAAACAAAAAGAAAAATATGGAGGACGGGAAGAAAAGGTTAAAAGAAGATAGCCATTGTGAGATGCCAGAAAGGATCGGCTAATTTGATTAAAAAAAGGAACTATGCAAATATTGGCAGAAAAAACAATGCATGTCTAAATAAGAACCAAAGCAGAGCAAAGAGAGAAAGAAGCGCCATATAAAAAGGGTAAGAACCACTGGTAGACACATGCCAACTTAATTACATTGCAGATAAGTTTGAATGATTTGCACACGCCAGAAAGGGGTTGACACCATGAGAAGTAAAAAAACCTTAGGATCAATAATCCTGGCGTATGGCAAACCAGTAATCACAACTGCTCTGCCAGCATGGTCAGTAAAATCCAGTCCTTCGCTGACCTGACAACACAAACTAGATAAGCCATAGCTGAGAAACTCTTACTGTAACAACCTGTTCTCTTTTAGGTCAAGCCCGAGTCGGCATTATCGATATTAACTTTTCTTTATTAATTTTGAAGCATCTTTTATCACATAAAAAGAAAGTCCCGTATAGTTGGAAGAAAACACACCTTCCCCCGACAAACAGCAAAAAATATTGCACCAGATGTTGAAGTATCTCGCAATTTTGCCACAAAATCCTGCCATCACATGTAAGATGTGAGAAAGAAAGGTAGTTTTTTTTTATATGGGAAAACAGAAGAATGTAGGCTTTCGTCATCCACCTGCATTGCCGATGGAAAGAGAGAAGAATCTTTAGGTTCAATAACAGGTTTTTTGCGTATGCATATTCTTTCCCATATCGTCATTGCATTTCCATGACTCTGGAAGGCCAAGCTGCAGTTGTCAAGCTAAAGTTTACGAAAATCTGCACCTTCAATGAGAACTTACTAAAGCCATACCGTATCTTTCCAACATGCAATGCACTTGTCCATGAGGTAGTAAGAAGGAAAAAACACCAGCAGTCCATCAGGCACAATTCGAGCAAAGTTAACTGCAAGCAATATACACCATTTAATCAACTGGCAAAGATCAGAAAATGGCTTCCATCTCTGAGGGGCTGTCCAGATTCCAGATCATCGGCACAAAACTCAAGAGTAAAATATTAGGTTATCAAAGCGACAGCAGACCACATACCAATAGCATTCCCAAGTTCTTGTTTATATTCTAGAGAATCACGATTCTGGTAGTTAGAATTAAGAACACACCCTGACGGGCCAGTACGTACGACTCCAGCCCATAACTGATTTGAGGATATGACATGGGGGTTTTCCAACCGAACAGGAAAGTCCCTGAATTTGGCAACAATAGATGTTTTCCATTAAAAGGTTGAGAGCAAAAAGTAAAGTGTGTAGCTTAAGGATAACTGACACGAAAATGACTCACAGTTTCAGTTCTTGAGCCAACGAATCCATGGGAGATAAGGTGCCCGATGTCAAAATAATAGACCCAACACCTTTGTTAGCCATCTCCTGCATGGCAATTCCGGGATTGAAACACCACCAGCTAAAAGTTCTTGAAACCTTGCCTGCAATAGAAAAAAATGATATCACGGTTTCACAGTGGAACCAGATTAGTAGATGATTATCATGCTAAAAAATATAATTCCCGTGGTCCTTCATCTAGTGTCACCACCACATGTAAAAAATAACTAATATAAAATCATTTACAAGAAAATAGGAGAAAATGATATTAGGCAGATACAAACTTTAAGGATAAATCAAACAGACAAGTCCAGTAATAAGAAAACAATGCTTCTATTAATGAATGTTATTGAAAGTGCTATAACTTTCTCTGTTCAAGGCTATGGACAAAAGGATTCCGGTTCACCTTTCACCATATCAGTGGCATTTGGTTCGAGTTCCTGTACATGAACCTAAAATAAAATAGAAAAAAATCTTAAGACTGTAACTGGAAGATGCATAGCAAAACAGTTCCAAAAGTATGGGAAAAACTGCAAAAGGAGGAAGCAAAAGAGAGAGAACAACCTTTCCAATTCAGTTAGCTGTCGCATTTGTATTGGAATATAAAAAACAAAATCAATTGGAAGCTTACACGGTAAAAATCTGCATGGTCACCCCCATCCGCTCTAAAGATCAGTTTAAGAATCTCAGCAAAGGTTTCTAGCCTGCTTCCAGCATTGGATTTTGCCTTTCGCTGTTTCTCCTCCTCAAGGAGCACCACAGCCTCCTCAAGGGTAGCAATGAGTTTAGGAGCAGTTTTGTGAGTGATATTAAGGCCTTCAAGCATTTCATATATGTAGGGGCCTGGCTTGGTAAATCCCTCATCCCGTTTCTTAATTGGCAACTTAGAGATCAGTTCCTGCAGCTTCAGGAAAATCCCTGAAAAAGAGCCATACACAATAAATAAGGAATAAAGAGTCATCCTTTTCAAAGATGACAGATCAATGTACTTGGAATTAGGAATCAAACCTTTAAGTATAGCAAAATTCTCAGGCTTCACAGAGACGTCATTGTATGAATCCCTTCTTGCTGCAGCAAGTTCCACACACTCCTGTGCTTCAGAAATGCACGCAGATAAATGCGCGGATGGAAAATCAAAAGAGGCTGCATCTGCGCATAAACTTTCCTGCATATATTTTTTAGATAAAATTGAGACTTTAGTCAAGTCAAGAGCAGTATAAAAGTTCCAAGATAGGTTCACCAAGGCAAAATCAAAAGGACCGTAAAACAAAGAAATTAACAATGGAAACAATCATACAAAAATCATAAAGATCAGCGAAATGAGTTGAACATCAAACATCTTTCTCCTTACTAGATTGTGAGCTTCATCAAAGATCAAGATACTATTGTTCCAGTTAATCTTCAAATACTTCCTATATCCATGGTCAATCAAGTAGTTGTAAGGTGCGAATAAAATGTCCACATCCTTCTGAAGCTCTCTTGTAACATAATACGGGCATCTGCAAGAAATTAATATGACGTAAATGGGACCGTCTTCATCTAAGAGAGGAACGTGAGACAACACCTCCATGATAAGAAATAAAAATGGTATTCATCAACGTCTAGCCAAAATGAAAACCCAAAATAAAAGAACTTACGGCCCAGATTCTTTTCCAATATTGATCAAATCCTCTATGTCAATTGGTTCTTCGCCAAGATGAGAATTATGCTTCAAATAATCTACGACATAAGATGGAAAACACGAGAGAGTTCCATAAACATAGGTTTCATCTGTAAGGGGAGGAATACAGCACAAAGCATCAAATTTCAGAGGTGAGTCATGCTACACAACCAGCATGCTTGTCCAAAGCAAAGAAAGTACCTGGAACACGGTTGAAATGTTCACACTGGCGGTTCCCGCGTTTTCTGCAAAGGTACTGACAAGCATTTGCCAGTGCCTTTCCCCGGAGTGATCTCACTTCCTCATTAACACACATTTGCTCCCGTGAACCTAAGACCACCATTTTGGGCCTGAGGTTGTGCGGATTAGAACAGAACAATAACAGTGCAATGGTACTGACGACACTAATGGAATGTATTGTCACCTGTAGCTGCTTCGTCTTAACTCTTTGATCACTTGACGAAGCTGACTGTGAGTACGTGACGTGTATACGATAGCAGGGAGGCCTCCTCCTCCTCCAGATTGTGACATTTGCTCATCTGCGTCACTCCAATCGTTCTTCTTCCGATTCTTAACTGTTGAGAAACTCCCCAGACTCTTTCTCCAGGCTAAGGTGGCACACAGAAGACACAAAGTTTTACCAGTTCCAGTAGGACTCTCTAAAAGCGCATGGCATTTCTGCCATATTGTTTAATCATATAAACAAATTATCAGAGAGGACGAGAAAACAGGATCCAATTGATACCAAGTATAAATATTCAAATCGCCCAAACGAGGATTCTACATCCTTTCACTTCTTCAAGCTAAAATGATTGGAGAAACAAAGCTGAGATACTGGGCGATAAGAACCGAATCAACACAAACTACAGTTTCTACGGATAAGCGAAGAACCCTAAGCCCTCTTTCTGGGTCCTAAGAGAGAAGAATCAAAGGAGCAAAAGAAGAAATCCATGGAAAACGATCCCATCAAACATCAAACCAGTTCAAGATACAGTTAACGATAGCAGTAGCAAGAAGGAAAAGAGGGGGAGGAACCCACATTTTGAAGAGACTGGATAACTTTCTCCATGTAAAGGATCTGACAATCGTAAGCCTCAAAGGGGAAATCAACATCGATTCCTCTGATCTTGTAGGTGGGCATTTTTGCCAGCTCTAATCCAAAGTCGGACTCCGGCAAAAGGAGTTGCCCGGAGCTGGCTTAGGAGAGAAGCCGGGTACACGAAGGCGAAGGCGCCGCTGTTCGGATTTTCCCGCCTTTTAGGTTGAGGGTCTTCCTCAAAAGCCCACTCAAAAGCCCACATTTATTATGAAAAGCTCTGTATTCAAATTAATATTGATGGATAAAACCCAACATCACATTTAAATCCATATATTTTTTTTAAACATCCAAGCAGCCTATGGGCCTAACGACAGAAAGTACTATGGGCCAGGCCCATTATTCTTTTTATGATTATGAAAAAAGAGCTCTCATCCTGTAGATTAGATCTTTCTAGAAGCAAAGCATATTATTCAGCTTTATATCTATCTATACGTATTGAGTAAACATGCAATTTTTTAACAAATAAATTATTTGGAAAAGTCGTGTGGAAAGTTCAAAATTGAACGCGAAAATAATAATAATTATAAATAAAAAGAAAAAAATAAAGGGGGAGAAAATTCGAGACAAATCGTCTCCTTGTTAAAAACCCTTCTTTCAACAGCCTCCGGTGCTTCATTTTTTTTTTCTCGCGACGTCGAGAACACTCACACATTTCCGCAGAAGCTTCCAGAACCCAATTGTCCTTCCTTACCCAGGTACAATACTAACCCTTCGTATTTTTTAATCTCGTCGAATAATCCTAGATCTGAAACACTTCCGTTTCGTAGATTCATCTTCGCTTCGTGATTTTGAGGTATGATCTGATGATCTGAATAATCTGAATGCTTTAATGGCTGTTAGGTTCCTGTATATTTGCTTTATTCTCGTGCCTCTTTTGGATTTGTCGCTGAATTCGTGGTTTTAACATTTGTACGTCGTAGATTTGGCTTTACCTGGAAAGTTCACAGTTTTTTCTTTTTCTCTTTCCCGATTGTGTCTGCTTCTCGGTGATTTGAGTGTGCTTTCGAATTTTGACTGCAAACAGAATTGGTTCTGGGTTCGGGCATATTTAGTTCCAGGTCGACATTGGTGAGTAATTAGTCTGCTCAATGTGTCTAGCTCCTAGAGATAATAGATTCTCTCCCTGTTATGATTCAAATCTTTTTTCTTCATTCCGTGTTGACTGTAAATCAGTTTTATCTCTCAAAACTTGTATGATTCATGATAATGCAATGGCTTTTCAACAATGCAGTTCTCGGGTATCAGAGTATTTGTCAATATTCCTCTTGTTTTTTTAAACTTAATGAATTAGTTATGGTTGATTTCACATGCTCAGAATATTTTCTTCATTATTGTTTCATGGCGACTACTTTCAGATATTTAGGGGCCCAAGCTATTGACGGAAATATCAAAGCCAAAATGAGTGTTGTTGGGTTTGATTTTGGGAACGAGAATTGCATTGTTGCTGTTGCTAGGCAGAGAGGGATTGATGTTGTACTCAATGACGAGTCGAAGCGTGAGACGCCGGCTGTCGTATGCTTTGGTGATAAACAGCGGTTCATTGGAACTGCCGGGGCTGCTTCAACCATGATGAACCCTAAAAGTTCAGTATCCCAAATCAAACGCTTAATTGGTCGCCAATTCTCTGACCCCGAGCTGCAAAGGGATTTAAAGTCTCTACCTTTTACTGTCACTGAAGGTCCTGATGGGTATCCTTTAATCCACGCTCGGTATTTGGGAGAGATGAGAACTTTCACCCCAACTCAGGTCATGGGAATGGTGTTGTCAAATTTGAAAAGCATCGCTGAGAATAACTTGAATGCAGCAGTGGTGGATTGCTGTATTGGGATTCCTGTTTATTTCACTGATCTCCAGAGAAGGGCTGTTCTGGATGCGGCCACAATTGCAGGCTTGCATCCATTGCGCTTGATGCACGAGACGACAGCAACTGCTTTGGCTTATGGTATTTATAAGACAGATTTGCCAGAGAATGACCAGTTGAATGTTGCGTTCATCGACATTGGGCATGCTGGCATGCAAGTCTGCATTGCAGGCTTCAAGAAGGGGCAACTCAAAGTTTTGTCTCATGCTTTTGATCGCTCGTTGGGTGGAAGAGACTTTGATGAAGTTCTTTTTCACCATTTTGCTGCTAAGTTCAAGGAGGAGTACAAGATTGATGTTTTCCAGAATGCCAGGGCTTGTCTCAGGCTACGAGCTGCCTGTGAGAAATTAAAAAAAGTTCTTAGCGCAAATCCCGAGGCACCTTTGAATATTGAATGCTTGATGGATGAGAAAGACGTCAGAGGTTTCATAAAGAGAGACGAGTTTGAACAGATCAGCATCCCGATCCTTGAGCGTGTTAAGAGGCCTCTAGAGACTGCCCTTGCCGATGCTGGCTTCACTGTTGAGAATGTACACATGGTTGAGGTTGTTGGTTCTGGCTCACGTGTTCCTGCTATAATCAAAATCCTAACCGAGTTCTTTGGTAAGGAGCCTAGGCGCACAATGAATGCAAGTGAGTGTGTTGCAAGGGGCTGTGCCTTGCAGTGCGCAATTCTCAGTCCAACGTTCAAAGTTCGAGAGTTCCAGGTAAGGGAAATATATACGTGCATGAGGAGGGCAATTGTCTTGTGTCCACTAAATCCAAAAGCTAGTGCTTTCCAGGTTATCTAATAAGTTCTTTTATGTTGTTTTTGCCCTAAGGTTCATGAGAGCTTCCCTTTTTCAATCGCGTTATCGTGGAAAGGATCAACTTCTGATGCTGAGAATGGAGGAGCTGAGAACCAGCAGAGCACTGTTGTTTTCCCCAAGGGAAATCCCATTCCCAGTGTCAAGGCTCTGACATTTTACCGAACTGGCACGTTCACTGTTGATGTGCAGTACACCGATCCTAGTGACTTGCAGGTGCCGCCGCAGATCAGCACATACACGGTATGAAGCTGAGTGTATATCTTATTGGTATTACAGCTGTATTTTTTTAGCCTTTATTTTCATTTTCGTGGTTGATTTCCCTTTTGTAGATCGGTCCCTTCCAATCATCCAAAGGTGAGAGAGCAAAGCTTAAAGTGAAAGCTAGACTGAACCTCCACGGAATTGTCTCGATTGAATCTGCAACTGTGAGTTCTTTCATTTTTGTGCAGTATTATGATCACCCAAGTGACAATTTTGTACTTCTCCTAATGAATTATTGGAAGACCTGTTGTTTCTACAAATTAACTGTATCATTCAGTTCTGGGTCTTTTCTTTTTTGTTGTCGGCTGGGTGCTGGAGCTTCCTTTGTTGTATGTTATATTTCTTTTCTCATTGCAGCTTCTGGAAGAGGAAGAAGTTGAAGTTCCTGTCACAAAAGAACATGTGGAAGCTACTAAGATGGACACTGATAATGCTCCTGCAGAGGCTGCTCCTGCTTCTAGTGACTCTGACGTTAACATGCAGGATGCTAAGGGAACTGGTGATGCACCCGGTGCTGAAAATGGTGTTCCAGAGTCTACTGATAAGCCCGTGCAAATGGAAACTGATTCGAAGGTTAGTCTTTGAATGGACAGCAGGCGCTTGTAGTTATTCATTCACTTGTGATCTCCGGGGGTCTTGAATGAAGAAGCTCTTTATGAGTTATAGTGAGGACATAATAAAGACACCTGCGGATGTATACCCCTGGATTTGGCCAGAAGCTCTGGTGGGTACAGTCGGGAGCCTATTTTATTATAGTGTGCTAAAATTTTGGGCCTCTGTCATCATGTGCAGGTCAAGGCCCCGAAGAAGAAGGTGAAGAAAACAAATGTCCCTGTGTCAGAAATGGTATATGGTGCTATGCAGTCAGCGGATGTGCAGAAGGCTGTTGAGAAAGAATTTGAGATGGCTTTGCAAGACAGAGTTATGGAGGAGACAAAAGACCGAAAGAATGCAGTTGAAGCTTATGTTTACGACATGCGTAACAAAGTGAGGACCAACCCGTCTCCGTTGATTATTTGTTATTACCAGATAGATGCTTGGATTGAACTTACACAATCTTTGTTATTCAGCTTAGTGACAAATACCAGGAATACATCACCGAAACAGATCGGGAAGCCTTCTTGGCCAAGCTGCAGGAAGTGGAAGATTGGTTGTATGAAGACGGTGAAGATGAGACAAAAGGTGTTTATGTTGCGAAGCTGGAGGAGCTCAAGAAGGTACGAGTGCTAATTTTGCTAAGTCTTAGTGAATCGATCGAATAATAAAATATTGGGTGGCTATTGCGTACGCTTTTCCAGGTTGGTGACCCAGTGGAAGAGAGATACAAGGAGTCAATGGAGAGAGGGTCTGTAATAGATCAGCTAGTCTATTGCATTAAGAGCTACAGAGAGGCGGGTATGTCTAATGATCCTAAGTTCGACCACATTGACTTGGCTGAAAAGCAAAAGGTAAACTAATTTGCTCCTCATCCTTACAGAGACAGACAGCTCGAATTGCTTGTATGTTGTGTTTGTTGATGATATACATGTTGTGCACTTAAGGTACTGAACGAGTGTGTGGAATCGGAAGCGTGGCTAAGGGGTAAGAAAGAGCAGCAATTGACGCTTCCAAAGCATGCAACCCCGGTTCTATTGTCAGCTGATGTTAGAAAGAAGGCTGAGGCATTGGACAGGTGACTCATTGAATCTTCTTGTTTGCTTATTACTATAATACTTTGTTTTCTCAATCTTTGGGTGATGAGGGAGAGAGTTGTGTGTGTGTAAATACAACAGGTTCTGCAGGCCGATAATGACGAAACCAAAGCCTGCTAAAGCAACCACCCCACCACCCACACAGCAGCAGGAGGGAGACGCAGCTGCGGAGTCAACAGAAGGGAACAGTAGTCAGGAGGATGCATCAATGGAGACTGACAACTCTCCTGCTTCCTAATTATCAGGAAGAAGACCCGTCTTTGTTGTTGTTGGCTGGGCCTTTTCTTCTTCGAGATGTTGAAAGGGACTTGTGTTGGTTGGTGGTGTTGTATCGATTTTGATTTAAATTAGTCCTTTGCTTTCATTACTCTCCTGCGGCATTTCTATATTTTTCTCCACCCACTTTCCTTTGTTTTTTTTTTCTTTTATTAAACTTTAAAAAAAAAAGTTGCTCTGCTTAAGGTCTTGTTCTTAATTGATTAAATTGTACCAGCCGAGGTTCCTTACTCTTTCTCCTTTTCATGTTTGGGAGTTGTCAGTACCCTCGTTCCAGAGAACAACACCCCCAATGCAATGCGGTCTTTGGGGGGTTCGTTTGCAATGAGATAGAGACAATGTCCTACATCATGAAGCACTTCGTATCTCCCAAAGCTCAACATCTTGTCCTCGTTCGTAACCCTTCACGTACTGCGGTATCTCTGTGATGTCAATGCGCTTCCCCACCAACTTCGCCTCTTTCGTCTCTGTCTCCATGCATGCATGCATACAATCACTATCGTTGCTACTCACACAAATGGATAGAGGAAAGCAGGGTTCCTGTGTCTTACCTTCCTCTTGACCTTCTCTCACATTTCTTCTGAAGCATGCGTATCCATTTGCCACAACTTCCATCTCATCCATGCTGAAGTTGTATCTCTTCTCCAATGCCAAATATAGCACCTAAAGGACCATCAAACTCCCATTCACCCTTATATCACTCACAACCTAATATTCATATGGCTTTTCCCACTCTTACCTTTTTTGAACCCATCGACATCAATCTCTCTATCTTGCTGAACAGTGCTACCGTTAGATCATCCTTGTATATTACATCTGCAGCGTATACAAAAGTAGCGCTTTTTACTTGTTCCAGGTCCAGGGAGCTCCAAGAATACCTGCGCCATTACCCCATGCCACTTACGCTCAAGCATTTGTTTCCAAAACTTCAGTTTATCTTTCACAATTTTTTTGCCATTTTTTTCAGTAGAATCCAAATGGAACTGAGTGAAAACTTTTTACCATGTTTGACCTTTCGTATAAACTTTCATTACATCACCGTGTTCAAACAAACTACCTTTTTGGATCTTTGCAATCGCTAAGGCTGTTTTGAAGAGGCCACTGACCCATCCAGTCGAGTTCACGGACATTGACCACAGCTAGGGGATTCAACAGAGGGGAATTGATTTTAACGTTCTGAGCACAGTTGTCAAGTATTTCGTCTCCATAATCTGTTGTACAAGAACCAAAGAAAAATCATCATTTCATGAAAAGTACAAACAGGTCCCTGATCAAGCTCCTTTGCACAGACACTGGCATACCGGTGAGGAAAACAACCTTGGCAACACGTGCAAGCAAAATTCCCACCAACCCTGAAAGAGAAGAAGGCAAACCAGATGAAACCAATCTCAAACACTGCGCATCAGTTGTGCCAACCAATCATGCCTCAAGTGGCTAATCACTAGACGAAGAATGAAAATCTCCTACTTATCGAGAGAGCGAACACCTCAAGATGAGATTCAGTATATACTATGTAAGGACTCACAGTTCACCATCTATCACCTTCCATTTGCCTCAAAAGGAGTTAGTGTCTCAGATAATAACCTGTTCCACAGCCAATCTCCAAAGAGACAGTGCCATCAAAGTCAGATGATGTGCACATCTTATGTAACACGAAATCGGACAGTACTAGTTCTGCTTTCCACACCTGAAAATGTTGCAATGGCAGACCAGAACTCAAAAACTAACTTGAAGAAAGGGGAAAACAAAAGAATGAGAGTTTCAATAAGAACGAACACAGAGTCCCCTACACATCCACAAGATACATATGCATCATGAATGCAAGGGAAAGGGGACGGGCTGAGACTGACCTGCAAACCAACATCACGTAGAGTTGATGTGATAGAATGCTGAATAGTGAGAGTGAAAGAGTGAGCGAATCGGCCTGTTTGTTTTGCAAACACTAAACCGGTAAAGGCTCACTACTTTGCAGCATAGATAAGCCGAATTTTTTGAAAAGAAAGAAGGAAAAATTCTTTAAGAAAGCTGTGTACTTACTTCTGCGTCTAGGAAGAACAAGATCACCATCTTCATCCAAAGCAATGGATTGATCATTAGAGGGACTTGACTCACATATGAAAAGTTTGTGAAATCTGCTGGATTCAGCTTCTGTAATCAACGAAAGAGTTGACAAGTCATCGATCAATCAAACCCCACAACAGTAAGGAAAATTTGCTTGAAACGAAAATCAAGATGAACCCGATCACGCAAAACCGGATGATATACAATAGAGAGAAGCAATTCAACATGTATCAAGATTTAACACACATTAAAATAGAAGAATCAAGAAGCTGCTCATCTAACAATATAGAAACAGTTCGATACAAGGGACATTAATAAATCAGATGTCAGAAAGCAACACGAAAACATCATCGATGTTCTGACATCATATGCCAAGTTTGGCTCTCAGAAAAAATACTCTAAAAAACAATCAATCTCAAGCGGGAAAACGGATTCATCGAAGAGAAGAGATGGAATAGGAACCAAGTGGAGGAGAGATGACAAAGCGGGAAAGATGGGGACCATGGGAGTCGGGAGGGCAACCGAGATGAACCTCGCTCATCACTTCAAACTCTTCCTCATCCTCCATATTCTCCAACTCTCACCGAGGGATTCTGCCGGTCGCCGGAAAATGAGACTCGAGAGGGGAACTCCGAGCTCATAAACGGAGCCCAAATGTCTATTAAAGGCTCAGATACCCAATTGTGGGCCCAACTAAGCGATGCTCGGTCCACCCAAACTTCTCGTTTTTTTTTCTTTTTCACGTAGTATTTATTTTTTATAAGAAAAATTCCAAAAAAACACTTCAATTTTAAAATTGTGAAAAAAAATATTCTAATCTTTTTATTTTATCAAAATAAATATTAAATTTGATAAAACATACAGTTAATTCTTTTACGATTATCAAAATAAATAAAACGAATATAAAAAAATATAATCACCTCAAATTATTTAGTTTAATTTTTTTTATAATGACATAAAATTCATATATTTTTTTGAATCAATAAAAAAAATTAATATTTTATTGATAATCGCAGCACTTAGAAAAATTTAATATTTTTTTAGATTTTTTTAAAAAATTTATTGTAAATATTTATTTGATAAAATAAAGAATTTAATATTTTTTTTAAAATTGAAAAATATTTTTTTTTGGATTTTCCAATATTTTATATCTGAAGCTGACGCGTTTCGTTCGTGTGTAAAGGCAGGAACTTGGCGGAAAAAGAGATGTTAGAATGTCGGAGGACATACAAAGGTTTCTAATCAGTAATCGGCAATCAAATCTATCAGGTAAGGTGAAATTGAATTACATAAAATCAGAAAGAAAAAAAGACGAATCACTTTGGACGGAGAGCATCGACCCGAGCCGCCACTTCATCAAAATCAGGCAGGTCGTTGGAGGCAGCAGGCTGCCATGAAATAGTCCGACGGCTGAGCCTTCGGCTGCTCACTCCACCTTTATCCATGGAATCCGATCGGAGGCTCTGACTTGAAGAAGCCGGCGGAGGCTTGAGAGGGTACAACGAAGCTTCATCAGGTGTCGCTTTGGGGAACCTACTTCTCACTGATCTCGGCTTTGGTTTCTCTCCCACCCTTGACTCTGTTTCAGACAGAACACAACGGACATCACTCTCTCTGTCTTCTTTCTTGGTCTGTCTGGTTTTTTTCTTTCTTACCTGTGTTGTTCTCGGGGGTTGGACTCAGGTGAGGCGCGGGGGTGAATCTGTCTTTGCTTTCTCCATCAGAACTCTCCCTTGTCTCCGTGCCGTTTGGTTTGGCCTTTTCCTCCTCTGGGTTATGTCCCTCAGCTTCTTCTGAAGACACGTGGTTCCCTTGAGCCTGCAAACACGACTTTGGATGAGAGGTAATGCTTCAGGCCCGTCCTATTACGTGGCGGTGATGCAACAGTTTGTACGCTTACACTTGGATGTTGTGGGGGAGGTGGAGTGTACAATCTCTGTTCCAAAGACTTGGAGTCCCACTCGACTGAGTACTCTCGAGCAATTTCATGCATCAGCTGCAGCTTCATCTGCTTTGATGGAGGCTCCACTTTGAATTTATCAACGAGCTGCAGGTTCCATTCCGAGTCAGCGCAGAGAGGGAGGCGCCCAATTATACAAAAACATCGGGATGGACATATACCTCTTGACTCACAAAGTGTTCGAGAGAAGTGCCGTAACGGTCGGCAAAGAGATGTCTGACATCACGCAGTTCAGGCACTTCAGAGACCCTAGCGGCCGCGTAAATAAGAGAGGAAACGGCCTCCCGGCACTCCTCAGGGCACCCGCTGTTGCATCAAACACACGCAATAAATGGTTTTGGTGTGGCTTGGTTCTGTGTAACAATGTTTAAGAGCAAGTACGTGGTTTTGTGGAGGAGGGAGACATTGCTTCCCACGCAGCTGCAGAACTGCTCCAGTAGCTCATAGCAACGCAGTCTCTTTTCCTCCTCCAGAAGCCCTTCTACCTGCAAATCCCACGGCATGATCACGTGACCCACATCCAAGCCTCCAAGGAAGAAACCAAGAACATAGATCTACCCTTCCGTATGCATTGTGATCGAGGCGGTTCTTGAGGAGATCGGCGATGTCCTTCTTCAGATACTTACAAACCGCATTCTTCTTCCTCTTCACGCCCTCCACCCGCGTCTTCGTCGCCTTCACCACCGACTTGCTGCGCCCACATATTTAGAATGAGGATCGAAACTTTAAACGTTCACCTGTCGATCCACAAGACGATTTAAGATGTAAATAATTTTTTTTACCATTTCGTGTAGAATTTGGGTTTAAACAACCCATCAAACATTTTCTTTCCCCTCTCCGGAAAGATGGAGAAGAAGCGGTCTGGGATTAGGTGAGAGTTCAAGAAACGAAATTGCCAAGAAAACAATGGAACCTCCCCCCCTCCGGATTTAGCATTCTGTTTTCGCCTCTGTGTATATCTCTCTCTAGGCTGAGAGAGGTGGATCTTGTAAACGTGCAAATTAGCGCGCGCTTTGGCAGCTGTAATTTTACTATTACAGGGTGGAGCTTCCATAAAAGAAGGGTGTTGACCAAGGGTATTTTCGGAATTGCATATACTATAAAAGTGTAAGTATTTTGTAGGCTTTTTATTGGGCCTGTGCCCATTGATGTGCAACACAACCATTACCAATATGTGGAGGCTGTTTGGACACACACTGGGCCACTGATATTCCACTTCGTGATAATTGGGTCAAGGCCTGTTGGAGACAAAACCAACCGGATGGACATTGAGCTCTTAATGGGCCTGAATACATGCGAAACCCTAAAAGAAACCCTTTGCACTATAAACACGTACCACCTCCGAGCCGCAGAGTCAAAATTCCCGTCTTACGTCGGCAAGGGTCTCTCCTGTATTTGGTTCAATGGTGAGTCTGTCAAGTCTTCGTCGTCCTTGGATGTTTCTGGTTCTAAGGAATGGTGAAAATGGCAGGGAAAGGGAACGGGGAGTTTCGGTAAGAGGAGGAACAAGACCCACACGCTCTGTGTGAGGTGTGGCCGCCGCAGCTTCCACATCCAGAAAAGTCGCTGCTCTGCCTGTGCCTTTCCCGCCGCTCGCAAGAGGACGTGTACGTTCTCCTCCTTGTGTCTTTAGCCCATGAAATAGGATGCCTAGTTAGATGTGAATCTGCTTTTATTCCACCACACTCTGTGAGATTTCCAAGCAAGATGTCGTTTTGATTTAGGGTTTAAAAAATGAGTTGGTGTATTGGCTTCTGGTGAAAGTTGCAATTTTTTCCAGCCCTCTTCGATTTGCATTCAGTTGTCAGTTTTTTTTTAAAAAATTTAGCTTCGCTTGTGATTTCAATTTTTGTGTTAAAGTGATCCAGTTTAGTTTTGTACGATTTGCTTGCATGTTACTGAGTTGACAAAATCTTCACGCAGATCGAGTTGTGTAATATTATATCTATGATAGGAGTATAATTTCGGCATGTGTGATGTTGAGTACAGATAACTGGAGCGTCAAGGCCATTCGCAGAAAGACCACAGGAACTGGTAGAATGAGATACCTCCGTAATGTGCCTCGGCGGTTCAAGAGTGGCTTTAGAGAAGGTATGAGCATCTGATTTTCACGGTTACTAAGTGTCGTATCTATCTGTGGAGGGAGAGTGGCTTTAGAGAAGGTATGAGCATCTGATTTTCATTGTTATCAGGCACCCAAGCAACTCCAAGGAACAAAGCTGCGGCTTCTTCTGCTTAGGCGATCAACGAGTCTACTGCTATCCTTAGGTCTTGGCAGGGATAGACAGGGCCTATAATTCCGCAAAACAATTTGAGATTTGTTTCCCGGTTGTCGAATGTTGGACAAGGATGGATGTTGTTACTTGGCAGTCTGTCTTGTGCTTTGATATGATGCCATGTTCTTGTTGTGGCCCGAAATGATTCGCTACTTGAATATGCTTCGGGTCACATGGTGGCCATTTATAGAGCATGGAATCTAAGTAACAAAAGCCGATTCGTTTGTCAGATATGTCCGAAGCTATTGAATAAATATTACTTGTATTTTTTCGTTAAATCATATTACCATTTGCAGAAAAGTTGCCTACAATTGCTGCTACGCGCGTTTGCGCAAATCTGACAGCTGAATGCCGGTAGTGCTTTGTAACACCCAAAAACTGGGACGCCTATCTTGAGGGGGGGATCGGAAAACTGCTCCACCGTGTATTATGGATATAGAATAGTACTCTCAAGAAAAAGAACAATGCAAATATATAACTGCAAAAGAGAGAGAAACGGTGCAGCATCAGTTTGCTTTATATTCACCAAATTTGTGCTTTTCCTCGAGCAACTGTTTGAAAGCTTGATCCATCTCAGGAAACGCAGCTAATAGAAGCTGCTCTAGGAGGCCAAAAGCCAGCTGCTTCAGACAAACCGATGACTACAAAGAAAGTACAACAGCATTAGTTTAAAGATATGACATCAATAGTGCCAAAGCATCTCTCAACCTGAAATGAAAACCTGTCTAGCTTTTGTTATGATTCCACAATGATCGGGTATGAGTCTGTAGAACTGGAACCAAAGCCACTTTACAGTTCCAGTGGAAGATGAGTCTACCCAGAGTATATTGAAAACTGAGGAGCTTGTTTGTTTACCTGGAGAAAAAAGTAGAGATCTTTTGCACATTGTTCATACTCCTTATGACCCACAAGACTAACTACAGTGGCAGGGGCTCTATCTGCAGTTTTCAAGGGTAAAATGAACATAGCGTCATTTCTCAAATATCATAAAGATTGAACAAAAATATGCCTATGGGAAAGAAAGAAAGAAAGATTACCAATCATCAGCTCATAGACCAACTTTGCACGTCGATCTGCTTCTCGTTGCTGCTCCTCGCTGGTTAACTGAGGAGAATATACTTCAGAACCATCTGATTGTTGTGGACGCTGTTGTCTTTTTGGATGCTTTGTTATGAATATACCATCAGGCCAGAGTATCTGAATCCAAAACGAGGAGAAAAAGAAAGCTATGATCTACTATTTCCTCAAACTCACAAACGATTGAAATTTAACAGTGTGAGACAGTTGTGGCCAAAAATCACAGGAACTGAATTTGCACTGCTTGAGTTTTATCGTAGGTGAGTACTTTTTTCCCATATATATACATGAAAAGAGCTTTTTAGGTCAATCAAAAGAAGCTGCAACACTGATCACTCAATGTGAGATGCCTTATTTTGAGCTTTGCCTGTGTAAAAAGTAGGGGCTTAACTCACCTGCTCAACCCGCTGTATGCCAGAAGCAACTACAGTTCCACAGCGCAGAAGACGGATTTTCTCGAGTAACCAATCATCCAGCGCATCACCCATCCCAAGTTGAAGTATCTGTTTGGCAACCCAGAAAGCTTTCCGCCTTTTGATGTACAAAACCAACAGATCAACAAAATTTGCCACCGATGGAAAATCTGTGAGGACACAGAGTTAATAGTTACGTACCTAATCCATCCGCCCTCCTTAAGCTGGAAAACAACATCCACCAAATCTAGTAGGGGTAAAGTTAGCTTTGGAGGTACCCACTGTGAGGAAGACATTCGATAACATGTACATCAAAATGACCATAGGAAAATAATGCATAACTAAGACAGTTGTAAAATGCAGTATACCTCTGTCGGCAGGCCAGAACCAGTCCCAGCATCAACATGGCCAGAACTTGCTTTCGACCCACCACTCTCTCTGCTATTTCTCTCTTCTGAATCAGGAGGCATCTTTACGTGATCTTTGCCAGAAGCTTTCATTTTCGACTTCAGGTCATCCACCAGGAGGTTATTCCTCATTTTCGGTGTCGATTGCCCGTTCTCAGAGCTCGGATTTCCTCTCCCAGAAGTTAGAGAACCAAGGGATGCCTCAGAGACATTTGCCACATTCTTGGCTGTGTTAGATGACTTACAGATGGGTTTAACTGAAATTATTAACGAGCAGCGTAAATACCAGCAGACAGATCAAAAACACAATCTGATGTTGTCCAGAAATCACCTGTCAGTGTCTCAATGATAGAGAAAGAACTTGAGAATGCATAAGTCTGTACCAAAACAACAATTAGGACACCCCGAATATGTACACGTGTGTATAATTTTTTTTACAGGAAGAGGACCACCAACCTGAGAATCGACACTAAGGAAGTCCCAAACTTCAAGGGACCCAGAGACTCTTGGGAGCTGCAGTAGCTTCTGAGAAAATTCAAAAGGTGATTAGCATATCAAAGCGAACTAAAACACTACTGTAAGGCAAAAAATCATCCATCCATGTTGAAGTTTCATGTGAAAGAAGAGCAGCCACATGCAAAGCAACTATGTCCAAAGTTTCATGCATAATAAATAACCATTGAGAAGAACAGAGAACCCAAAGCTAGATATGCAACACAGCTATATCCAAAGTTTTAATGCAACAGAACCACACAGCAGTAGCTTTTGACGAATGTGCAACAACTAATCGGCATATCAAAGTACACCGGGTTAACCTCAAAGTAAAACTTCTCATCTATGTGGAAGTCAGTTTTATGTGCAAGTTATGTGAAGTCACCACGGTGTCAATAAAGAATATAGAAGAAATATAAATGAGAGAGACAAGTGGGGATGTTCGACCTTCAGATAATCGTCAAGTAATACACATCGCTCTTGGATAACAGGTATGTCCAAGCCTGATGATAGGAAATGTTTTGGGGGTAAATGAAGATTGTACTCAGGGAACTCTTTAAGACGTCGGTGAAGCTCCTCAAAATGCCGAAATCTGAAAGATTGTACATAAATGAATCATGTCAAAAAAAAAAAGAACGCGCAACTACTTGTAACCAGCATTATTTCTTTCACCTTCTTTTGATGGACCAGCTATGATTACTTTCATCTGTAACGGCAATTGAGTACACTGCAAACATCTTAGAGCTACTCTCCACAATATTAGCACCCAGCACCTGCAAACAAAACCTGGTTTTGGTCCATCACATTATACCACAAAGAGAACAAGGCCTTGGTTTTTCGCAGCTTTATGAGTGCATTTGGCTCAGACTTCGTTTAGACCCCCACTTTTTTTCTTTTTGGAATTTGTTATTCGGAGAAACAAGGAGACATGCAAAAGTGAGACTTTTTCATCAGGTTATCGCCCTTAGAATATAAAATACCACCACTTTAGAAAAGTTCAGGGATTTGTGTATCTGCAACAGCCAAAAAATCGAAAGCCAAGGAAAAACCACCATCCTGACTCCAGTAAAAGCCAAATGTCTACAATTAAATTAACCATTTAGAACCTAAACAAGAATTAGTTCACTATGTTGAAGCAAAATAGCTTTGAAGTGTACCTCACATCTCAACTTTGCAAATGAATCAACCATCAAAGAACTCCTCAGGGCATTGAGTGTACCACTTTCTGGCAAAGAAAAGGAGGACCCAGACGAAGATGCAGTCATTCCACTATATAATCTACGCGAAGATTCATTCTCAGAATCATCGGTAACATCATCGGCCGTAGCATGTCCAGACACATTTTGACCAGGACGTCTGGATCTCTTCCTGCCAGATTGCTTCCTGGTTAATTGCTGATACTGTTCATGTCCTTTACTGCTTTTCTTTCTGAAACGTCGTGCAGAACTTTCAAGTGGATGGTGAATACGAGAAACAGCCAAGTTTCTGTTTGTCCTACCATCCCATACTTTCGTCCCTGGACTGTTGAGACCCATTACGTTATCCGTCTCTTCATCCTCAGATGTAGAAGAATGACTACTCTCAGCTTGCTCCTCCTCCTCCTCCTCTTCGCCTGACGAATAATTAGATAATCGGCTGACTGCATTTACAACTTCATGCTGACTAGAGCCTCTTGAGTTAGCAGCATTACCCTTAAAGTCATTTTGCTCAGGAATGTATTTGTCCCTCCAACAATCCTCACTTGAGTATTTTCTTGCGACAATTTCCCCTGGTGATGATCTCGATGGCACCTGCTCAAAAGTTTTCTTCTTCTCACCTTCCTTCCTTCTATAATTCCTCCCCTTTGCCCACACACTCTCGAGATGCTCGGAAGCGAGTGTTTCAGTTTTCCTGCGTGACATAATGTCTAATACATCGCCCCATTCCCCTCCTCCTTGGTGTCCTTGAAGGCCTTTACTATCACCAACTGTTTTGGAGCTTAATGGGAGAGAGCTCCAGGAACGGGAGGATCGGGTGTCAATTGAAAGCAATGGATCTTTAGATAAATCTGTCTTTTTTTCCCCTCCAGCAGTGTCCGACTCTTCATTTTTCAATCGCACAAGCTCCACGCCTGTGATCGAAGGGTCCAGATATCTAGAAAAATGATCAGGGGAAATCTTCGTGATATCATCTGATTGAGAAGACACATCTGCAGGACTACTTCCCTCCTTGGCCTTTATCTTCGATATGACCGCAACTTCAATTCTCTCATTTATAAACCTGGCAGAGGATTTGGGGACTATGAGACAAGGATAAGAGGTGTTAATTGTGAAAGCTTAGTAGATACAACTTTACCGAGGGCTAGCTAGGTTCAGGACTGGCCGCATCACACAGCAAGCAAGAAGCTCTCTCACAGTATGGCGGAAGAATGTGCACTGCAAATCCTCAGGCCTAAATGTAAGTGAAATGAGACTGTTTGTTAAATGTTGCAAAACCTGCAAACAGAAACCAGAATATCATCACCTTGCAGAAACACACACTCGATGACAAGGCACTAAAACATGATCAGCACACTCTACATAATAAAGGTAGGCCATATTTAACACATAAAACCTTATGCTCAGATTCAGTGGAGAATAATGCAGGATGCAATTTATCCTCAGCAGCCATCACACATTTTAGTTCCACATCCCTGTCTTCAAAAGTGAGGTTTCCACTCTGCTGTTTCTCAATCTTTGCCTGAAACTCGCGGAAGAGCTCCAAATGGTGACATATGATCCGAATTAGATCCCTGGATAACCCCAGCTGTTTAGTTCCATGAAGAAAGTGATCTTAGCAAAAACCCCAGCTGACAAGAAGATGCTAGAAAGAACAAACCTTGTCAATAGATCAATAAGATTCACATTTCTAAACCGCCATGAAATTTCCCCGAGAACACTGTTTAGGATAAACACCAGTTCTTCCGGACCTTCCTTATCCGGTGTGATACGGGAGTACCAGAGATCCGTCACCCATTCAGAAATTAGGTGACGGCTGAAGCGATCCATTGCATCCTCAACAACCCGAGAATTCACTTTACTCCTCCAGTCAGACCGGGGGGCTGCTTTAGGGATTTCCGGAGGTTTATTTATAGACGATGCTTTTGCAGATGAAATTTTGCTGTTGTAAGCTGCAGCTTTTCTTTTCATTTCTATATCCAATGAGAAATAACGGAGGAGAATGATCAGGCATGCTGCGGCAGGAAGGTTGACCCAAACCGATGAACTTGTCACTGCAGATATGAAAACATATATAAGTTTCCACTAAAGATAACTGAGGAAATTACTACACGGGAAGTAACAACAGAATACAACAACCCTGCCCAGTAACTAGTTGGCTAAGCTGCAATTGAAGCTGTCTGCCACCAAAGAAAAAAGTGAACACTACGACCGAAAAGAGCAAAGTTCATAAAGTTTTCAGTTTGTAGCCGACGAACACTCGAGCAAGCAGTGGGTTCGTGCTACATTCACAATCGATCCGATAAGAACTCGAAGCTTACATGACATGAGGTAGGACAGTCCGACGGCGCATATCACCAGAATTACAATACGCTTCTTGGCTTCCTCTACCAGGTCACGCGCGGTTACCACCTGCCTCTGCGTGCTCATCCTTCCCAATTCAATTGAACAAAAAAGTCCTTCCCTTTTCTCCAGGAACTGTACAACCCAAAGAGATCAGTCGATTCGATCCGTCGATCGATGGACGAGCGCCTCGATGATCATTTTCCTTGATTCTCCAAGATTAACAAAAGAGATAGTCTCTGAGACCCGGAATTCGGACTCGATTGGGAAACCGCCGGAAATCAAAGGATACAAATGAAATGCGCGAGGAACGAAAGGAGGGAAGAATTTGCCACCGGAAACTCAGCTGTGTGACCGTTAGGTCAGTAGGAGTAGATGTCCGAAGTGAATCGGACTATCTTCCGGTGAGAATCTCCAATCACTATCGATCCGAATCTCCTCCGGTGAGCAACGGGGGGGATCTTGATGCTCTATTTAGGCCCTGGTTTCCACTTCATTCTGGATCCTCAACGATATTTGCCGAATTCTATCGACAAAGCATGGAAATTTAAAGCACAATGACGAAAATGCCCTTGACCCTGAGGAAAAAAACTTATGATTCCTCGAGATTAAGGTTTCCGAAGGGGAAGACGCCGATTCGATCCAAAAGTTCTTCCGCAAAGCTGCTGAAC